AGTTGGAAGTCGGATTTGGACACCCCAAGTGGAAGGTCGGATTGAAGTGACCTGCGTTTGGCGGTCAGATGAAGTGACCTGCTTTCGGCGGGTCGGATATGAATGTGACCTGCATTTCGGCGGTCGGATTGAAGTGACACCGCGCTTGGCGGTCGGATTGAATGACCCGCGATTTCGCGGTCGGATATGAGTCACCGCGATTTCGCGGGTCGGATTGAGTGACCCCGTTTTCGGCGGGTCGATTAGAGTGACCGCGCGATTTCCGCGGGTCGGATTGGAGTGACTGAACGTTTCTCGTAATTTTGGCCAGGCCGTTTTAGACTTTGGCCTCCATACCTTCTGCAGTCTTTGTGGTTTTGTTCCACTCCTTCTTTCTCCAATTTCTTGGCCCTCTTGCACCAGAATTTTTGCTTTGCAAAGCAGCGCGCGTTTGGTGATCCGCTCTTGAAGAGTTGATCGTTCCTTTTGACCGAACCCCATTCGTTCTTCACTGGTTTAAAAAGAGGAGGGCTGTCCACTCTCTGTGTGGTGGTTGCGCCTTCTACTTTTCAGATCCGCCTCATAGCGGACTCCATCAACTGGTTCCAAGGCTTTGGCCAGTTGGCGTTCGAGGCGTTGACGTCGCCTCTGACGTACTCTCTTTGATAGAGTGGGCACATACTCAACAGTCGACCCTTTGCTTAAGGGGTTCAGATCTGTAGTTTTAGCCTCGTCGGATGCCGACGGGGCGTTGTGAGCCACGGGTGCAGCGGTAGCGGGAAGATCCTCTTCTTGGGCTTCTGCAGCTGAAGTCCAACGGGTCTTCCTGGAGTAGGCCTTCCTGCATCTGTGAGGAGAGGCCGATCTGGAGGAGGAGGACAAGTATTCCTCGTACTTCTGCTGGTCGAACTCATATTCGACCTCCGTTTCAACCGGGATCGGGATCCGAGGTTGCGACACGTCAGCCTTCGCAGAAAGGCTGTCGGCTCCCACTGTGGTCGCCAGTTTGTTTCCGTCGAAAGTCACCTTAGTCATTGATTTCATTAAACTTTAAGCGTTACAAATGAATTCAAACAACAAAAGAATAAAAGATTATAACTTTCTTGAAAATAAACACAAGATCCGTTTATCGGCTCTTGCTTGCGTGGGTTCTTCGCCGGTGCCGGGGTTTATCCGTGGACCGCCTTAGATCTGGATCCGGTTGATGAAAAATTTGGCAGAGCTTCTACCTCAACCAAGGGGTTTGCTTGAAGTCCTGGAATCGACAAAGCGATATCAGGCGCTTCTTCTCGAGATTAAGACAGAGCCCTAATCTCAAGAACGGACGTAACATGAGCTTCGGATCCTTCGAACGCTTCTCCTTTGCTCCGAAGTTCGGCCGGGATTCGCGTCCTTTGCTGAAATTCATGCTCCTTCACTCTCCCAATCCGCAGCACTCGTCTCTTGATAAATATTCGCAGATCCGAATAATGGAGCCTTTGGTTGCATATTTATAGGCCTGCAAAATGCGGTTATTCGGATAATGAACAAGGGATTTGGCTTCTAAAAAATCTTTTTCATGTCAAGCAGCCTAACTCAGTTTGGGATGATCTCAAGTCAGTTAAGAAACCCCTGGAATGCCGTAAACCCTGCAAGAAACTAATTAAAAAACCGTCTAAAACGTGTTTGGACATTAGACTGGCGGCAGAACAATCTGACCCGCGCTCGCGCGGTCGGAATGATCCGACCCGCGCTTGCGCGGGTCGGATTGATCCGTCCCGCGCTTGCGCGGGTCGGATCATTCCGTCCTGCGCTTAGCGCGGGTTCGCCGACTTTCTCCCTTTTTTTGGTTTCTTTCTTCCGGGACTTGTTCTTGTTGCGTATTCGTTCGATTTGTTGACTTGTATGCTTCGTCGCGAGACCGATCGTCGAACCGCGTTTGGTTAATATACGCGTACTGATCGATGCGCGCGGGCTGATTGACGTGCGTGCGTTGACCGGCGCGCACGAGTTGGTTTGACGTACGCGCGTTGACCGATGCGCACAAGATGATTTGACGTACGCGCTGACCGATGCGCAAGAGTTGGTTTGACGTGCACGTGTTTGACTGACGCGCACGCGTTGGTTGACGTGCGCGCGTTGACCGGCGCGCACGAGTTGATTGACGTGCGCGCGCTGACCGGCGCGCACGCGTTGGTTGATGTGCGCGCGTTGACCGGCGCACACGAGCTGATGCGCGTGTTGACTGGCGCGCACGAGTTGGTTTGACGAACCTTCTTGACTCGCCCATTCATTGCTTCGAGTTTCGTGCGGGCTCTCGTAGACAATTTTAGACGCCTACAGAGTCCAGATCAACAACGAAGCGCAAAACCGGACAACGGACACAACAGCGAACACCCGGAAGAGCTCGGTCGAACCCGAACCACTCAGGCGGCTCACCGAGCCACCTAGGTGGCTCTCGGCCGAGCCACCTAGGTGGCTTGGTGGCCGAACCACCTGGTGGCCGAGCCACCAGGCAGATCTGGGCCCATATCCGCTTAGAGAAGCCTATAAATAGACTCCTATGTCTCATTTGTCAATGGTTGGAACTTTTGGAGCCGAAACTCTGCCGGATTCAAAACTGAATCTTGGAGTTTTGAAGCTTTGAAGACTTAGACATTTTCAGATCTGGTTCTTGGCGAGCATCCACGTCAGAAAAGGTAGGAGTTCGAGAGAGGTAGATCAGATCTGAGATCCACACGGTAATACTCCGGATCAAAACTTGGTTTTTGATCCCGAGAAGGCTATTATTTCCTTGGTGAAATAGTACCCCGGCTATTATTTCCTTTGTGAAATAGCACCTGTTATATCGTGTAGATCCGACCGGATCAAGATCGCACGGTAGTCCACGGATTAACCCCGGCGCAGGCAAAGAACCCACAAAAGCGAGTGACCGCAAAACAGGAGCTCGTGATTCGTTCGACAAACAAGGAAGATTGTAACTTTTTCTTTTTCTTTTGATCTCGTTGTAACCGGATATTATAAAAAGACCGGATCTTTTTGTAACCGATAAACTGTTACCAAGGAGTGCAATGACTTCCCGCAGCCGATGATCAAGATCCCCGTAGCTGAAGAGGTTGAGTACGAATTCGACCAGCAAAAATTTGAAGAATACATCTCCTCCTCCTCCTCCAGATCTGCTCCTCCTCATAAGCGCAAGAAGATCTCATCCTCCTAGAAGATCCGCCGGTCTCTAGATCTGAAGACCCAAGAAGTCGATCTCTACGTCGTCGCTGCTACAGTTGCACCTTGCAATGATCCGCCGGCATCCAATGAGACCAGATCTGCAGATCTGAACTCCTTTGTGATCAAGGAGCCGACTGCTGAAGGCGTGTCAACTTTATCAAAGAGAGCACGTCAAAGGAAACGCCAACGCCTCGCGCGCTAATTCGCCAAGGCTTTGGATCAGGTGGACGGACTCCGTTACCAAGCATATTGGGAGTTTAGAAAGCACCGAGTGACTAAGCTATCACCACAACGAGCATCGGAACCCTCCTCCCAACCTCTATTTAACAAATGGGATTAGGTCAAACGAACCCGTTCTACCCTCGAGGAGCGCGTCTAGAAATATCATGCACTTATTACGCACACACTAGTACAAACAGGGATAGCCCCAACGGTTCAAACCGTTGGGGCAGATAGTGTCCCCAACGGTTGTAACCGTTGGGGCAAAAAAAGCCCGTTGGGACAAATTTCGTTGGGGCAAAGTCAGCCCCAACGGTTGTTTTATTAGCCCCAACGGTTATGACCGTTGGTGCTGATTATTTTTTTAATTATAATTTTAAAAATATAAAAAACCAAGCACTAACAGTTGTAACCGTTGGTGCAAATAACAGCACCAACGGTTTCAACCTTTGGTGCAAATAGAAGCACCAACGGTTTGAACCGTTGGTGCTGCTATTTGTACCAACGGTTAAAACTATTGGTGCTTCTATTTGCACCAACGGTTGAAACCGTTGATGCTGTAAAGGTGCACAACTCTAAAAGATCCCTAAGCATAAAAATATACAAGTATTTCTCTCTGATATTCACCAACAATGAGGAGATTATACTATGACTTTTTTGAGCTATGGAAATTGTTAAAATATGTATCCTCAGATGCGAAATTTGTTGCATCAAGGCAGTGCACCACATCAGAAAATTAAACATCAACAAAATTATATTAGGTCTCAAAATAGTATACACAAATATTATGTCCGAAGATCTTTCACAGCCAAACTACACAAATTTATACCATACTTTCATAGTGTTTACATCACTTGCAATTTCATAGTGTTAATATCACTTGCAAAATTGTCTACAACTATAAATCATAGTGTTTACATCACTTGCAATTTCATAGTGTTAATATCACTTGCAAAATTGTCTACAACTATAAATTAACGTAAGCTAATCTTGACCATCATGTAGGTTATCTTCTACTCCGACTTGAATAATTTCCTACAAAACACAGATAATATGTTAGTTTACAATTATAACAACTTAAGAAACTTATTTGGAACTCACTTGCAAATGTCGTGGAAGAAGGTTACTCAGCAGCTCAACTAGGATTTTTTTCTAATCCTTCTGGAGCTACTGTGTGGGCAGTGAAGGAAAAGACTTTGCATGCGATGTCTCACGCCTCTTGCCATTTGAGAACTTCTTCATCAATAAGAACCCTCATAAGCTCAGGAATTGCGAGGGAGGGGTGAGTATCATTCAGTTGTAGTGCCACCTGCAAGGTACATGCAGCTAACGTGAGTGAAACATGTAGTAGTATCGTAGTCTTGTATAGAAGCAATATAAAACAAAAGCTAAATTCCAAACGTGAGTGAAACATGTAGTAGTATCGTAGTCTTGTATAGAAGCAATATAAAACAAAAGCTAAATTCCAATAACATATAAATAAAGAACCTTGTCAGGAAATTGATCAAGTTATTGTGAGAATCTTTATATCTCCGAATGATGTCTTGAAGAGAAGCTGAGACGAAAAAGTACTGCTGCTTCAACCTTAGTTCACTGAGTTACAACGTCAGCAAAGTAATCATAACCAATACAATACTGTAGAAAGACTACAGTACAAAATATTTATATAGATATTAAAGCTAACACGCATTCCAGATCTTCCCGAGTTAGCTATATTAACACAAAACAATGTTAAGAAAAATCATAAAACAAACACAATATGAAGGTAAGAGGTTCATCACAATATGGGGAAGAAAGAGGAGGTATCATGCATTACAGTGCAGACAAAGTGCAGAATATACCTGATAAGACCGATCATTAGAATAGAGTACGCTGCTATGTTTCAGCTCGCTGGCTGCTAATAACTGCATTGATGTAATCTCCAGTGTTAAACAAAATAAATATCACTGCATACCATATCATACTGATCATTAGGTTTAGCCACCCATAAACGCAAATTATAGTATTTCTTGTCCCATAACCTGGTATTGGGTTGTCATAAGCAACGGCCTCAGCCTATCAAGTTGAAATGAACTAGAACTAAAAACATCAAAATTATAATAGGTTGGAGTCAGGAAAATATTCTGATATTCCAAAAATGAGGAATTATGGTATAGCAAAAACCATGAATATCACAATACCGTCTCTCCAGGAATCCAAACTTTGAACTTTGAATCAATCTATCAAGCAAAGAATCAAACTTTGCAATCCAATCAGAGATCTAATGCAAAATATCTCTATTACATCTTCTTCTGCAATAAGAATAGCTCACCAATAAGACACCAACGGCAGTAAGCAGTCGGAGCAAAGGCTGATTGGGCTACTTGAGCTTTTAAAGATTTGATGGTGTGTGTTTCATCTAGTACCACTCTGTACCAATTAACTCTATGAAATATGCTCGCCTTTGAATTTGAATTCTGGATAGAAGACAACTTTGTCATTCACGGCCAAAACTGGATATAGATTAGAAGTAGATAAAAAAGAATGTCAATAATCCAGACAGATTTAAAAGATGATTGTAGAACCCCATATGTTGTTAAGACCACATCATAAATGGCAATTTCTCTGGGATCATTTGTTTTGTCACAACCGTAGTGAATGAATACAGAAATCGAACCAGGCCACCGTGAATGGGTCTCTAGCTCATCCTGGAATAATAATTGAACTGGATGCTTCAGTGATTTAAAAAGAAAAAGAACAGGATACAGTTTTCCAAGACTAATACTAGAAGTAAACTAGGACTTTGAAAGTACTGTTAAAATAATAGATAAGAGAAATTAGGACTTTGAAAGTACTGTTAAAATAATAGATAAGAGAAATTGAATTTGTTACAGAGGCATAATGTGTCACAGTTACCTTCCATTGGCCACATAATGCCATGGGACAAACAATTAGGGTTCCTCCCATTACAAAATTTGATTCTTCCTCAGGATTTTCCATTTCTATATTATGGTTTCTTGATCTTCCCCTTTGATTTGCAAATATTAGAGAAATTGTCATGACAGTCTTTCCAAGCCCCATTGCATCTGCTAAATCTGTAGAGTAGATAAGTCAAATGCAAAGCCAGAGCACAAAAAAATCTCAACTAAATTACAAGTTATGACAAAGAGCCTTGATAAAAAAACAGCATGGAGCACTATTGAACTTGTTTAGACGTTCAAATAAACATCTCAGATAGCATAAAAGTAAAGGTATCATTATGAATATCCTGCCTTAAACTCTCTGAATGTGCTATCTCAAACATTCTTCGCATGAGAAGGAATAGGCTCACATGCAGTATGTATAAAATTTGATTCAAATTTTTCTATCATTGGTTTGCAGCCATGATGTCTACTGCATTTTGCCTTTAAGAAGCATGTGCATACATCATCGCAGTCGCATCTATCAAATTATTTGCCTCAGGAGTATGCAGAAGATGAAATAAGAATAGCTCACAATCTAGTGAACATTATTATATATGAATCAAACTTTGCAATCAAATCAGCAAAGTAATCAGTTTACTAGCATTATATTTCAACCTTGTAGAAATTTATTCTACTGATAATGCTGACAGTTTCCTATAGTATGAGGGTATATATCTCTCTCACTAGCAAGATTAGGTATGCTAATCAATGTCCAACTCTCACTAGTAAGATTAGGTATGATAATACTGATATATATCTTTGGGGATCAGCTCTTAAACCCAGAGGAATGGATCAAGGGTTTGGCTGGAATGGCCATGATATTGACAAGGCATTGAATGTGTGATTGGCGAAATAACTAACTCACGTACATAGTTATGAAATTTCATCTATTAAAAACAGGACCAACCTGTAGGCATTCAAGAACCCCTGAACACATTCCTCTTAGGCTTACTCCCAAAACCAGTGTATCTTACGAGAAGAAGAATTTTCTCGCCTCAAATAGCCCTGACTCTTTGCCAATGTCAAGTCCATCTCAGCCTCCACAATCTTCCTACACCCCAAAATCAAACCTTAGTACAAATGTGCAACAGATTTGTAAAAAGGAGGCACAAAGGGAACTTACTTGCATCCGAGATTCATCAGCTTGTCCTCAACTGTAAGAACTCTAGGCCGCTTGAAACATAAACAAAAATGAGATTTTGAATCAAATCTACGTTAGAAATTGGTGTAAAGATCTGAAATCGAGGCTTACATGAGTGGCACTTCTATGGACTAGATCGGACAGAAGCATTCAATTCTCTGCATCTTGCCACAATTTGACATAAAAACATCAAAACCCTAAGGATTAATTCCAATGGGTAAGAGGAATAACAGTGAAGGAACTTAGAGAGGGCGAGTTCAAAAAACCCTAGTTCAGATCGAAACCCTTGAATGCCTCCGAGATCGATGCGGCATCCATCGTCGCCGTACGATCTGAACTGATGGTTCCGTCGACCGCCTGGTCACGGCGGTTGAAACCCCCAATGAAATTGATGAGGAGGTTAGGGTTTCAATGAGGAGAGGGGATAGGTCAGGGCTAGGGTTTTTGTTGATAAAGGTGGCGGCGAACTCCAGATCTCGACGGCGACGGCGAACATCGAAGGCAGCGACAAGTTCAGATGAGAGAGAGCGAGAGAGAATGGGGTTTGGGCTGGTTTCTGATGAGAGAGAGAGAGAACGGGGGAACTGGGGGAGTTTTGTGGGTTTTTTTCAGCGAAAATATATGGGGGGAAATTTCCCTCCCTGAGGTGTAGGCTAAAATCAACTTGCCCCAATGGTTTAAACCGTTGGGGCAAGTAAAATCAGCCCTAACGGTTACTTACACCCGTTGGGGCTGAGCCTTTTTTTACTAGTGACACCTAGATCCTTGTGCGAGAGGCACAAGAATTACAGTGGGAAGAGGTGATCAAGAAATCACCAAGATCTAAGCAGGTTTGGGTGCCGAAGGCTAAGTCAGCGCCCCTACCCGATAAAAGACATCAGTCATGTCTCTCGGTCGATTCCAGACCCAAAGCTGGTTCCCAGCTTTCGTTAAGTTTAGATCTCGCTCCTTTTAATCCCACATCTCCGGTGAAGCTCCGCGACAATATGGACATATCTAGAGGCAGGAAAGTGATAGCGGAATGCCTGGGTCTTTTGCACGAGGACCAAGGCAAAGCTCCAGTCAAAGAACGCTTGGGCATGATGAATGAACCCCAAGAAACTCATCGAGTTGGGGGTCTCACTCGCCCTTCCAACAAATCAAAGCCTTCCTATAATGGAAAAGCTCCTATAACTGACCGCCTCGGACTGCGAGTCATTATCCTAGAGCCCGTTGAGGTCTCATGCTCACGAAAGCATGACTCAAATTGTGCGACTCTAGAGAGCACTGACAAGACGACGAATCCTCAGAAGGAAACATGTTCGTCAGACGACGACAATATACCTGAGGAGTCGTGCCAGCACACGATACGTTGCTCCGGCAATCATGCCGATGAGTTGTACTATCGTGCTGGGGGTACGAACAAATCTCAAAAGAAAGGTACCCGAGAAACGGACTCTCATTATCCGTGTACTAAAATTATCAAGGCAGTATTATCAGCGTGTAGCTGCCCCAAGACCAATCCACAAAGGGTCTCGGTATTTGAAAAGATCTCCCCCAGAACACCCAGGACCAAGCCAATGCGTTTCTGTAGAAAAAGTTCAACTGCGCAAGATGACGAACTTCCAGAAGTCGTAGTTAATATGGTTGATAAGGGGAAGTCAACGCGAAACTTCAATCCTCGTCATCTTTCGGACATATCCCAACGTATAACTCGGTTATGGTCGGGAACCGTTAGACAAATGGACTATCAGTGGATGAATCAAGGATTATCCTCGGATGATGAAGTATCAGATGCTAACTCTGCAGTCGCTTCTGACAAAACGGTATCCAGCCTAGGTCAATCCCACGAAGTGTTGATGATTAGCACAGAAGAGGTCACTAAAATGGTTGAGGATGCCTTGGCCAAACAAAAAGAGAACTTCAAGTTCGAAATGGAAATGGCCATGATGCGAATGAGGGAAGAGCATGATCAAAAAATTCGGGTTCTGTCCAATCAAGTCAAAGTTGAATCCAGCCATCGCACCCAGTGCGCCGCAATTGTCAGCGATCCAGAAGTGGACGAAATCATCATGGCCGACGCACCTCCCAAAAATACTGGGTGTAGTTCAAATACACCTCCTACAGAAAACAACGCTGGGGGTGGTTCCGCCAAAGATAATAACACTGGGGGTGGCTGCATTATTCCTCTCGAAAATTATCCAAAACAGGATATAGATGAGGACAAAAAGATGAAGGATCTCGAGAGCAAAATTAACGCCCTGATGTCTGCTCGAGAGGTGAAGAAGACCGGGATTCCGTGTCCTTACCCAAGAGAATGGGAATTGATCCCGTATCCGACGAAGTTCAACCTGGTCAACTTCACGCCGTTCGACGGGAAGGGCTCGCCCTCTCAGCATGTGATCTACTTCAAGTCCCATTTGGGTATGATCTCCGGCAATGAAGCCTTGATGGGCTCGCCCTCTCAGCATGTGATCTACTTCAAGTCCCATTTGGGTATGATCTCCGGCAATGAAGCCTTGATGGGCTCGCCCTCTCAGCATGTGATCTACTTCAAGTCCCATTTGGGTATGATCTCCGGCAATGAAGCCTTGATGGTGCGGTCATTCGTTGGCACCCTTCGCGGGCCTGCCTTCGATTGGTACCATCGTCTCAAGCCTGGAAGCATCAACAGCTGAGAGGACCTGGAGAGCATGTTCCTTACTCATTTATTCGATGATGACGTCGAAGTGTTGATCAGGACACTCTTCGATGAGAAACAAAAAGACGGAGAGTCGGTGGATACCTTCGTCAAACGCTTCCGCAATCAGGCAATGAATTGCAAGGATCCCGTCACGGAGGAATTCGTCTTGCAAACCTGTCATAATAACTTGTCCATTAACATCTTGGACGTTATGGGAGTAGAGCCGCTCAATACCTGAAAATAGTTGAAGGTGCACGGAGAGCAGGCCGAACGCTTCCTCAGAAGGAGGAAGGTCGAAAGAAGCCAACCGATGGCTAACCCTCTGAATCCGAGTCTCATTTCCCATGATGAAGGGAAGACACCTACAACAGTTATTAACGTTAATCAGACGTCGCAACAGCAACCCCGAAGATAGCAGAAGACTTTGGATCCGAGACTCCAAAAAGAGTACTCATTCAAGGACGAAGACGTTCCAGCCATCTTCGAGACCCTTCTCAAAAACTATAAGATCAAGCTGCCACCCATCACGAATCAGGAAGAAGCTGACAATACTGCGGAACCAAAGTACTGCGCGTATCACAGGAGGATCCTTCATCCCACCAAGGCTTGCTTTACTTTAAAGAATAACATCCAAACCTTGGTTGAAGCCGGCGTCATAACGCTAGGATAAGCCAAACTAGAATGGCAACACTCCGAAGAGTATACGAGTATAAACTGCTTCTCAACACTCCGACAAGTATACGAGTATACACTGCTTCTTAATACTCCAATAGGTATATGAGTCTAAACTATTCCCACTTTTGACGGGAAGTTCCTGAAGAATTTTTACATGTAATATTCTTAAGGATAACCCGATCATGCAACTGAATACAATGGTAAACCCAACTTCACAAAGAAAGCTGGGGATGGATAATTTATGTAACAGGAAGTTTCCAGAAGAATGTTAAATGTAATATTCTTAGGGGTAGCCTGATCATTATGAATAAAGTGATAAACACTAAACTCTTACTGTGATTTTTGAACACTCTTTTGCTGAGACGAGATTCGATCACTTCATTAGATCAATCTTCCCTCACAAAACTCCCATTGGTGTTCGACGACTCATAGTCTTCCACTATAAAATCCCTCACTGATCAAATTTATTGACAGTGGGTCCACTAAAATTCTTTCTGGATTAATCCATTCAAACTTCCATTATGTTCGTACACTCAACACTTTCATGGTTAGAGTCCGGATATAATGCTTGGAATTTTAATCTGTCCATCCTTGACAAATTGTCAAACCCCTTCGTGTTAAGTCCCTATCACTTAACACCAGGAACCCCATTTGAGTAATTTGTACAAGTCAACACTCCTACTATAATTTGTACTCCCACTCCCATTTGGTCAAACCTTCTTACAACTAGGACCACAACCAAAATCCCCTCTCGATTCCTCCAATGAACGAGAGATCCACAAATCGAGCGATCAAACCTTCCTACAGTTAGGATTGTCTCAAACATCCCACTCGGTCAAACCTTCCTACAGTTAGGGCCAAAACCAAAATCCCCTCTTGATTTCTCTAATAAACGAGAGGTCCACTTTCAAATCGAGTGATCAAACCTTTCTACAGTTAGGGTCATCTCAAACTCCCGCTTGGTCAAACCTTCCTACAATTAGGACCAAAACCACAACTCACTCTCGATAAACGAGAAATTTATCTTTAGTTCGGTAATCAAACCTTCCGACAGTTAGGGTTATCCGAATCTTTTTGATTCTCGGAGTGGAGATCCCACTCCTAGTTTCACCTTTCCGAATTCTGGGGGTGGAGATCCCACCTCGAGTTTCCTTTCCAACTGGAGATAGAATATAAAATTCTTCCTCTTCGGTGTTGGGAGATAGAATATAAAATTCTTCCTCTCCTATTTCGGATTCGTCTTTGCCCCAAGAAAAGACACCACTTTTTCAACTCCTAAAATCCGTACCTCATAGGCACGGGGAATTTTATTCCGAATCCTGAGCAGGGATAAGTCAACGCCTAACACGCGTTGCCGGTTTAGTCTTTCACCGATTGAAAAAGATACCAGAATCCAATCTGGGGAATTTTATCCCGAATCCTGACCAGGGATAAGTCAACGCCTAACATGCTTTATCCCGAATCCTGACCAGGGATAAGTCAACGCCTAACATGCGTTGCCGGTTTAGTCTTTCACCGATTGAAAAGGATACCAGAATCCAATCTGGGGAATTTTATCCCGAATCCTGACCAGGGATAAGTCAACGCCTAACATGCGTTGCCGGTTTAGTCTTTCACCGATTAAAAAAGACACCAGAATCCAGTATGGGGTATTTTATCCCGAAGCCAAAGTAGGGATAAGTTAGCGCTTAACCCGCGTTGCTGGGTGGTTCGTTCACGTAAAAACGACCGAGTCTACGTATTCAGCATCGTAGCAACAAAAATCTATGCCTTTTATGCATGGGGAATTTTATCCCGAATCCTAAGTAGGGATAGGTCAACGCCTAACACGCGTTGCCGGTTAGTCTTTGACCGTAGAAAGGATGAAAGACCACATATTCAACATTGTGGCAAGTTGTTATTAATAACACCATAATCCGTACCTCACACGCATGGGTAATTTTATCCCGAATCCTAAGAAGGGCTAAGTCAGCGCCTAACACGCGTTGCCGGTTAGTCCTTAACAGTAAAAAAAAGGGACAAAAGCCCACATATTCGACATTGTGGCAGGTTGTTATTCATAACACTAAAATCCTTGCTTCACACGCACGGGGAATTTTATCCTGAATCCTAAGTAGGGATAAGCCAACGCCTAACACGCGTTGCCGGTTTAGTCTTTTACCGATTGAAGAAGACACCAGAATTAGAGTCTGGGAACTTTTATCCTGAATCCTAAGTAAGGATAAGTCAGCGCCTAACACGCGTTGCATGGTAGCCTGTTCCCGTAACAATGGCGAAGTCTACGTATTCGAAGTC